CTTTTGATCTTGCCAGTAGATATGATTTTTTCCACTTTGTTAAACAGGGTGACAATCCTGATTGTTCTGCGGTGAAATTACACAGCAGTGTTGTCACTTTATACAGGGTCATCATAGTTGGACATGAAATCGTAGATGGACTTTAAGTAAGACTCAAACACATTCAAGCTTAAATCAGTCTAATCATTTTAAGCAGTTACAGCAAATGTTTAGGGCTGGATTCCAACTTCATGTGCATTGCAGCACACATAACACATGTAGATGTAAATGGGCCCACAGAGTTTCCATTTCACACTAAACTGCAGTGCATCAATGTGAGTATGCCACAACGGAAAGAAGGGGCTTGCGGCTTGGAATGGATTTTCATGTTGTAAAATAAACAGACAAGCTAAAAAAGGCCCAATATACAATAAGCACCCCTGTGTTATGTATTTTTTTTCCAACCCCTGTCATTTTTACTAGACAGCTTGACCTGCATGAAGGTGTGAAGAAAAAATATATTTAATGTGAAATAAAAAAGAAATTCACATAGTAAATACTATAAATGCTGGTATAAGCCACATACAGTTACCTTAATACAAAATGTTTACTATAGTGGGTGAAATCCTAATATTACCAAATGCTGTGTCGTTTACACAGAGGGGTTGTTTAATTGCAGGCAAATACGCTGTTCACTTAGCAAGGGAAATTTCACTTATTTTAATGAATGAGGTGAAATCTAACTTTGCAAAGAATACCCAATCATACGCAAGAATAATAATTGAAAAAAAAATAGTATTTTTGCTTGCACATGATTGGATGATGGATATCAATGGAGCTTCACCTCATTTACTAAACTAAGGGAAAATTCCATTGCAAAGTGAACAGTCTATTTCCCTTTTGTAAGTCAACCCCACAGTGTCCTTCAAAGCTTCGAAAGAAACACACTGTCTGAAACAGCTGTAAGCATTGATCATATGTTACCTACTGAAGCTTAAATACAGTGATCTGAAACATTGGTGAGTAGCGCTATATATTAGCTTAAAATTGATTGATGTTTATATTTGAGTTCTGTGCACCATCATGGAAAGGAAGGTATACGAGGACTGATATTCCCACATGTAACCACATTGATTACAGTTTTTATACCTCTCACATTGGGGACACTGATATTTGTGGCTGCATGGTTTCCCAAGTGTCACTTTTTAAGACGTTTATAAAAAAGAAATGGCTGCATTAACCAACTGTAGCCAGATTTACTACTTGCCATATTCCAGTTCAGTATTGAATCTGATTGGATGATAGGAGGCAACACGTAGCCAACCCATAATGCTTCTTTGTTCTTGTATACACTGATTAAACAGTGTCACAAGGTCAGTCAGTTTTGTTTATGCAAGTGTTTACAAA